CACCAGAGCTGAAGAGTCTACAGGGCACTACATTAGTGATAAAGCTGATTATAAATAATAATGACCTTAGTGGATGATGAGAAATGCAGTAAACTTTTTCTGAGCCAGGCAAGATGATGTAGGGGATACAATGTTAAATGCATAAAGTTTGTAAGGAAAGCAGATGCTAAGAGATTTTTTTTCTCTCCCTGGTAATTTAAATGGACAATGAATTTAGTGGATGCTCAGTAAATTTTTGTTGAATGAGTAAGTAAACAAGAGTTTTGAAAACTGAGTTCCTAGTGAAAGTCCATAAATTGAGGCATATTTGCATTTAATCCCAACTCTCTACTATTTATTTCAAGAGTAAGATCAGATTCCTGACATGGGAACATAGAAAAGGATGTCCATTTTTTAGGGACAGAGAGATAGAAAGAAAACGTGTGTATGGAATTACATGGAGCTCAGCTAGCTAAAGAGTTGTCTTCTTTGGTGCCCATGGCAGGGTCTGGTGGGAAAGGGTAACAGATACTGGATTGAGATTCATTTTTATCTGTTCTATTTTATTTTGTGAGAAGCGGGACAGGAAGGTGAGGGCTATATTGGGTAACTTGTTAGGATTTGACTTTTTTAGTGATCATGCCACTGGTTATTTTTCTAAGGCCTTGCTTGTTTGCAGTGATAGACTTGGAATTATAGTACTTCCTTGGTTTTGGAACTAGCTTATTGTACTGAATATGGTAACTTTTGTGAAAGCATTTTGAAAAGTCTAAAGTTACTTCCAAGGCAAAACTGTTTTGTATTGCTACTGCAGCTATACTTAGAACGACCCCATTTAAACTTGGTCGGTTTTTCATCTCAGGTCTGAATTCTTAGGAATTCTAACTATGAGGATCCCACATAGTTCCCTTGGGTCACGGTTTCTCAAATGTGGCATTATTCACATATTGAGCCAGATAATTTTTTTCAGAGTTGGCTATGCATTATAGGATGGTTGGCAGCATCCCTGGCCTCTACCCACTAGATGCCAGTAGCATCCACCTACCCCCTCTGTTGTGACAGTTTAAAACCAGTCTTTCAAAGAGTTCTCTCTTTGTTAAAAGGAAAATCAGAAACTTCTGAATAAAAGGATTTTTTCTTTTTAGATGATAAGAAAATTTGTATGTGTTCTCTAGCCAATATAATAAGGATAAATCAGTTCCACCCCAAAAAGTAAATGAGAAATACCACTTACGAAACAATTCTTGTACGATTTGTTCCCCCCCCCAACTCTTTCCCTCTACACACACACACATGCACACACACATAGAGGCATGCGCATGCACACCTTAAATTAATGGACGTTTTTTGCTAATGGTTACTCCACATGTCTGAGCAATTGACAGCAGATAAATATTGAGGCATATTATATTTTTTATCTAGCTCATGGGTCAATTTTATGTCATTGTGACATAAAATGGGCTATTTTTTTTCCATAGACTATTTTAATTTTGTGACCCTGGTCTCTGTGAGTCATTGTTACAGGAATCTGATTACTTCTTGGAAAACAAATAAGGCCACAGACTTTCTCATGTGGATCCATACTTTTGTCTTGCTTCTTGATTATTTTATTACTGGCTCCATTGCTTTTGATTGGAAAAGAAAGTCCAGTCAAGCTGCTTAGATTGTCATTCCAGTGGGTGCCCTGGGCAGTGATTTCTGAACCATTCATTCCTTTGAAATTTTGTTCTCAGCTGGAGAAATGTCACAGTTGTCTTAGCTTTTGACTCTGACTTTTAGTGAGTGAGGCAAAGAATAGGAAATAAGAACACTTTCTAGAAGAAACAATGAGCAGTTCTATGCATATCAGGTGACTTACTGCTGAAGATTCCAAAACATTAAAAAATATTGATTAAGTTTCAACCTGTTGGGAAATTATTGCCATAACTTTCATTTTGCCCCTAGATTTGCTGAGGCTCAGAGCTGTATTTAACTTACTGAATCTTGTATTATGGCCAGAAAGAGACCTCAGGAGCCCCATTCCCCAGGTTCTTATTAGCCTTGACAAGAGTGTTGTTAAAATTGCAGACTCCTCAGAGTCCCAAGGAGATTAGGTTTCTTGCAATTTCTATGCAAAGTCTGAAACAATCTCTGTATATATTTTGGCTTCTGAAATACATTCTGAGGTAATATATCAGGTTATACTATCTCTGTGAAGACAGTTTCTTTTGTTTATAGTTGCTAATCATTTTTCTTTTTCTCTTCTTCTTTGCTATATTTATTTTGACATTAATGTTGACTTTGACCTTAAAGGAAAAAAATATCAGACATTTTCCAGATTTAGGCTTTTATTATAAACCACTTCATATTTTAAATGGTATGTCTCAGGGGAGAAATGTATGAAGAATTGATGGAAGTTAGAAATTTTTATTTAGTAATTATCACCTACCATTTGAAACAAGTGCAAATCACATGATGTCAAAGTGAATCTATTACATATCATAATCAAAGATGAATCAAAGTAATTACCAGCCAAACAGGGATTGAATAGAACTTAAAACCAATTAAACTATTTATTTCGACTGTACCACTGAATAAACACGTTATGTTTTAATTTGCTCCTTTTTTCATTTACTTCAGCAATATGTTTGCTAATATGACTGAGATGCACAATTGCTATTTAATTAACCTATTTTTGTCAGCACCTCACATGAGCTGCGTGAAGTAGATGTGCTAAAGTCTCAATAATAATGAGCCAGATAAAAATAACAAACATGAAATTTATGCCAATCATTTTACAACTTATGCCAAATTGAAACAATATCCAAGGAAATAAGGAAACAGGTTATCTTAGAGAAATTGGATTGAAAATACTTACAAAAGCATGTTGAACCAACAAAAAATCATTGAAAAGTTAAGTAAAATTTTTAAACTGTTTCATCATCCTCCACTTTGTTTTATTGCTATTAACTATTGACAGTGAATCTCCTTGAGGCCTTATATCTGATTTGGAATAACTGAGTTGGTAATAGACATGAAAAGGTCTGGCATGATGCATCTTACAGGAGATCCTCTGTCCTTGGAGTGGCTCTTGAGTAAGGGATCATAAAAAGTATCAATTTTCCCTTTACTCCCTAAGGCCAGTACCAAAACCCTAGGACAGTTTGGGTTATTTTGACCTTGTTGATACACATTTTTCCACAAAAGTAAGGTAACTGATAATGTGAGGAGAAGCCCTACCTTTCTTTACTTTCGAATAGTATAAGAAAGGTGGAACAATTCAATTAAATATAAAAAGACTCCCCACGAAGTGTAGTACTCTGGCAGTTGGCTCATGAAGACAAACATCTACCTGACTTGGCTTTTCATCCGGTTTTACTGTCAGGTAGACATAATTAGTATAGAATTAGATAAAATTATTTTCTGCACAGCCTGTCTTTTTTTTTCTTTCACACATTTATAATTTACTTACACTTCATAATCATGATGCCTTCCATTCTCTAAAATAGCTGCTTATTAGCCAATTTATCAGGGGACCCACAAAAGTAAGAGAGGCCCTTACATTTGGGGCAGGTTTTTTGTTTATTTGTTTAAATACACCTTTATCTTATTCCCATTATTCTGGTTGCTGTTAGAAGTGTAAGCTAATGGAGATCTGCTTTCTAATTCTTAGAACAAATAGAATGCTATACCTGTGAGAGCCCTCAAAGGTCTGGACCAAGCCCTATGATACAGATAAGAAAACTAAGGCTCAGAAAGGCAAAGGGTCCTATTGTAGATCACCTGATTTTTATAAGGTGAGCATTACAACTCAGGTTTTCCGGCTCCCTAAATTCCCCTAGCCCCTTTATCACACAGGACATTAACCTCTAGCTGCTCTGTATGTGTAGAACTTTAAATCACCACATGGGTGCCTTGATCACAGCCTTTTAATGAGTGACACAAGAGAGGAGTCTTCTTTCTCTCACATGGAGTGTTTTACATCCCTAACTCAGATTTGCTTAACTAAGGTCAAATTTACATTAAAGAAAAGTCTGCAGGCGCTAGCAGGTAGCATATATGGGCAAAAGTGTAGTGGGACCGTTTTGGTAAAGTGTTCTGTTTAAAAATGTTCACATTCATTCCGTCTACAGGCCGCTACTCTGTAACTCTTGACTGCATCACCATGTGGATGAGTAATGAAGAGCATTCTTTGAGTTATGTAAGCACAATCAACATCACAGTTCCTTTTAGAATACTTGGTATCCCAAGTGCCATGCCAAACCCTCTGTTTTGAATGAGCTGGACTGCCAGTACTCAAGAAGATGCATATCTTTGGGGACATAAAATGCCCCCATAGAGACCATCTTTAGTCCAAGTAGTATCCCCGAAGTTTAGACCTGCAAAGAGTATACAAATGCATGTCTCAAAAACTCCATAGGGGAAATGAGCCTGCAGCCTGTAAGCTTCCTGGGAACAGCAAAAAAATTTGGTTCAAGAAAAAAAAGATCTCAATCCTCAAATCAATCGAATAATTTAAAAAAAAAAAAAAAAAAAAAAACCCTAACAGACAAACCAAAATCACAGGACAAATCCACCATATGTACCAAACAATCAGTGTAATTATGTTCTATAGTTGAGGAATTACATAAATTGCCCATTGGGAAGGAAACCTTAATCTCTACCCCTCCCTTGAAATCTATAAACAGCTGTGTGAGTCTCTCTATTTTTGAAAGGTTGAACATATTTGATCAGGGAACCAACTTGATTTCCTAATCAGGTTCACCGTGAGCAGAGCCAGTTAGAGATGTGTGTGATTCTCCCAGTGTGCGTCTTTGATTCATGCGCTAATTATGTCGATCCTTTGGGGAACACAGCCACGAAGCTGGGTCCTCCTTGATTAATGCTGGCTGAGAGCCATGCAGCACGCAGCGGAGAGCAGTTCAGCATCTCTAGTCCCAGCTGAGAATATGGTCCCATTATCTCCCAGCTGCCTAAGCAATCCATAAGGGCCTGTTCTGCGTGGATGATCAGTGTAGTGGAAGCAGGGACTTGCTGAGAGCTGAAATCTCTGTTTGATTTGCTGTAACATGTAAAGCGAAACTGGGACATTTTACTTTACAGTCTGTAAGTATCAGGTTTTTCCCCCCCTCTTTCTCCCTACAGCTCCATGTGAATGTGACTTTGCAAGCTGCATTTGATTTGCTATTCCATCGCTCTTTGTTGAATCAAGCTGGTGAGACAGAGTGTAATCTGTTTACAGCTTGCTGTTTCTGTCAGATCTCTTTTATAATTTATTCATACAGGAAAATAAGAGACCTTTCGGAATGCTTTTATAGAAGTTAAAAATTATTGGTTTTATTTTTAATTTGGAAGCATGGGTGCATTGTCTGTGGTGCTCAGGATGGTTAGAGCATATGTTTATCTTCTGTATCTCTGGCCACTGCAAGAAAAATGTAAGTAAAAGTAATGTATACGTAAAGAGATCATCTTACATGCACTTCTGTATAAAAGAAGCATGTGTCATTATTTCCAGAATTTGTTTAAGATAGTTTATTTTGCAGCTCTCTGCTGCCACTAAGAAAGGCAGAAACGGGAAAGTTTTTCTTGTTTTTCAGTTGCATGCTGTTTAGAAACTTTGCCAGAGGTGGGGGGTGGGAGTAATATATCAGGAATATTTGCACATATAAATTGCATATCTCCTTTTTCATGCTGAGGATCAGTGTTTCAAGATAAGAGTCTATTTTTTAGCTCAGTTTTGCTTTTGAACGTGCCACTTTTTATGAAGTAATGTTAATTAAAAACAAAAAAAAATTTCAAATCTGAGTTCATTTATCTTTCATATATCTCCAAATGCAGTCTATCAAATTCATATTTGTTATCCATGCAAGATGAAATGATCATGAAAATGATATTAGAAATTAATATTGTTGATAATGTTTGCATGGTGTCTCTCAAATGATCAATGGCTTAGTGAAATTAAAGATTGTTATCACTATGGAAAGGGATATGCGGATTTCTTGTCTGGGTTTCCCTAACCTAAATATAAATCACACTTTTCTTCCTGGATTGAACATAGAGCAATTGAGCTGTTGTAAGAATAGAATTTGAATATAAAAGGCGTGAACTGCTTGAACCAATGGCCAGAGCTGATATGGACCAAAATGAATTTGACATCATTCATACCTGAAAAGGGGAATCAAAGTGCCCTCAATGAGCTTGAGACCATGGAGCCAGAGGATCCTGTAATTTCCAGAGTGGAAATACAATTTTCCTGAATAGGCAATAAGTCTCAGAGCAGAGAAAAACCACAGGCTGTGAAGTATGAAAGTGTCTCACTGGTGGGGACAGAGTATGTTCTCATTAGATTTGGTTGATAGGAACGATATAAGAGAGAAAAGACTCAAAATAGATGGTTGTCTACATGAGCACAGGCATTTTCAGGGCTTGAGGTTTGGAGGGAAAAGGTAACAAGCCAATGAAGAACGCTTAACATATGGCCAGATGGAGCAAAAGGAGAATGGCTGTGTTAACCTCTGGGTAGCGAACAGTCCCAAGGCTATCCTTGCAGAGAAGTCTGTTTTCTGGGAGGGAAAAAAAAAGTGTGTTTAAGGATGTGAATCACTGAAATCTGAAATGCAGGCAAGTGGTTTTGATGGTTACATTTCCCCTAAACAAAAGAATGGCATCATGCCTTCTTCTGAAACCGAGCTGACTTTTATAAGTGATGGTTACTGAGGAAGCCTCAGCTGTATTTTAAAAAAACAAAAATTGTTGGTGTTTTTCTAACTAGGGCAAGGATATGATCTTGTAAAGATGTTGCCTTGTTTAAAATTAAAAGAAGAGAAGGTAGTCCTGGTTTGTGTGTGTGTGTGTGTGTGTGTAGTGGGAATTTTTGCCATTTGTGGAGAAGAATTTTCCTGAAGTACTTAAGTTTGATTTTTATTTTCCATTCAAACATTTAGAAATTTCATCTCTTGTGATATTAAACATGCTTGTGGCTGATTACCACAAAGCTGTAAGAGGTTTTGCAAGATTTATAGTGTGCTTCTGTTACTTTAGAAATGTTTTGACTATTTTCTAAAAATTGGGACACTCTCTCCCCAATTGTGCTTAATCTGTAGAAAAGGGGATTGGATGCTCCACGGGTTAGTTTAGGGTCTGGTCACTTGACAGATGGGGAAGTCAGATGGGTGTTAAATATGCCTTTAAGAGGTGCTTTTAAAGCCCTGGTGATTTAATTGGTCTTCAAAATAAATGTAAAATGTTATGAGATAATAAAGGAAAAGTCTTATATTTTATATGTAAAGATAGTATGTCCCTGTATGTGTTTGCATGCATAGAAATCTACCCAACAGCCTGGGAGGTAGTTTCTGTGCTACTCTAACTACAGTACCCCCTCAGTATCGAGAAGATGCTGAGGTTGAATAAAGTGGAAGAAATCTTCACAAGAGGCACATGAGTAGAAAATAAAGCCCCTGGCAGTGTGTGCTTTGAGCCCTTGGCAAATGTTTTGTCTGTCCCCAGAGGGGACACAGCTAAGCACAAAGAGGACTTCACCGCATCCTCAGCAGCAGTTGTAAGCAGGTCCTCCTTGCTCACAAAATGCACTCCAGCCCTCTGTGACAGGTTGGGTCAGCAAATGTGAGGTGCAGATTGAAGCTCTGTGAACTACCTCTAAAATAACTTCAAAGTGAATATGATGGAACAAAAAATGAATTTAACAACCCTGAAAAATTGGGCAGATTTTAAATGTTAGCAAGCCTTGACTATTACATATTGTCAAAGTATCCACTCAATGGATTATCAATAATAACGGTGGAAGCTTGAGTTAAGCTCTTTCAAATTGCTGTGCGAGCTCTAACAAGCCACTTTACCTCTCTGAGCCTCAGTATTCCCCTATAAAATTAGGTATGATTTCCCAGATAGTTTCTAGGTTAGGAAAGTCTATAATCTCATGACACTTCATTTTAACCTCTCACTCACTCCTGGACAGCCCTTCAAATTGCCCAGGGACTGAGTGAAATGTGATTTAATTGTCATCTGAAGCAAAATGTTAATAGGATTCTTTCTTTTCTTCCTTTCTCCTCTCTCTCTTTCTCTCCTTTCCCTATTCCCTCTCTTTCTTCTTCTTCATTTTTATCCCTACTCCCTCCCTCTCTACCCTTGTCCCCAGTTCCTTTTCCCCCTTTTTTATTAGCTCTTCTAAAAATCAAACAGAAACAAAGCTGGGAATGTGTGTTCTTTTGATCTGTTTGTTTGCCACCTTCTCTTATGAGAGATCATCAAGGTATAAATAAGGTATATAATGATGTCCTGCTCTGTTGTGTATTAAATTCACTTGATCCTAGACATGGGTTTGCACAAGGGACCTGAAAGTTATGGATGTGTATATATGTATGTATAGATTGTTCATATTAATTTTTAAAGTAAGAATAATTTATCTTATATTCTGAATTCCAGGTGATTAAACAGGATTTATCCAAGTGTATTAAGCTAACAATATTTACTTTAAAAATAAAAAAAAAAATTCACAACTGAGTGTACACTTCAATGTAGAAGGATACTAAAGAGCTTGATTTAAAAAAAAAAAAAGATGTACCAAAGGATTTTTATTTTTCCCCAAGAAATTACAGTTTTATTTAATAGTATGGAAAAGAAAAGCCATAAATGATTTCATTAAGAAATAGAGTTGACCCTTGAACTACTGAGGTGTTAGGGACTCTGATCCCCTGCACAGTCAAAAATCTGGGTATAACTTTTGACACCCCAAAAACTTAATAGCCTAATGGTGACCAGAAGCCTTACAGATAACATAAGCTGTTGATTAACACATATTTTGTATGTTATATGTCCCTGCACAATTGAGAATTATGTATAACTTTTGACTCCCCAAAAACTGAACTTCCAATAACCTGCTGTTGACCAGAAGCCTTACTGATAACATAAACAGTTGATTAACACATATTTTATGTTATATGAGTTACATACTGTATTCTTTTTTTTTTTTTAGGATTTTATTTATTTATTTGACAGAGAAAGCATGAGCACAAGAAGGCAGAGCTGCAGGCATAGGGAGCACGGGGAGAGGGAGAGAGAGGCTCCCCACTGAGCAAAGAGCCCAACACCAGGCTAGATCCCAGGACCTTGGGGTCATGACCTGAATTGAAGGCAGATGCTTAACCCACTGAGCACCCACGTGCCCCTATATACTGTATTCTTAAAATAAAGTTAGCTGAAGAAAAGAACATGTTTTTAAGAACATCATGAGGAAGAGGAAATACATTTACAGGACTTTACTCTATTTATAAAAATAAAAACACCTGTAAGGGGACCCATGCAGTTCAATGTTGTTCAAGGATCAACTGTATATACCTGACACCATAAATAAGTGACCAACTTTGGAGTTTAAGTCAGATTAAAAAAAATTCATGGAAAATTTTCTTTGTGGCCCTCGTTCTGTGATCTCAGACTGTTTATTGCTAGTGAAAATTGTCAGTTAAAAACTACAAACTACAGATTTTACTAAACTCACCGCTAATGATGCTTAGGCTTCTTGATGTGCTCAAACCAAATTGTGAGTAAATTTCCTTTGTGTGTCTTTACTACAAGTACTAGAAGGAGCTAAGTTAATTTCAGAATTGATATTTGTAGTACAAGGATAGCAGTGTTTCTTGCTTCTTTCAATATTAAATGAAATAAAAATACGCATTGGCCGGATAGCCAGAATGGCACAAAATAATTACAGACTAATATCCTTAACAGTGGACAATATTTGTATGTATTTTTAACAACTAGTGTACTTGAAGATGGATGGTAAGTGCCCATTTGATGACAGTAATAGCTTGTTTTGGCTCCACTTCTTATTCCAGAACAAACTAGTGTTATGAATGGCAGCTTTTAAATGGAAGTTGGAATATTAATTTTTCCCTCAAATTTTACCATTAGGAAATCCCTGTATATGTGGCTTCCTATTCTCGAGTTTGAATATTAATGTTATTCCTTATTCCTTAATATAGACTGTATTTGATGTGATCCATGCAGAATATAAAATTAATTTTCCAAATCTCATATTGGGTAGGCAGCCTGGCTTTTCAGGCAGCAGGCCCTGTTGTAAATAGAATCAG